TTGTAAATGCAATGAAGTTGGTTGGAGTTTGTAAGCAAAGGTTGGAGATAATGAGGAAAAGTGGTTGGGATTCTTTACTTAGTAAAGTCTCAGATTTTTGTCTTAAACATGATATTGATGTGCCTAATATGGATGATATGTTTCTTTCTCGAAGGCGAGGGCAACGAAAAGCACAAGCAGTCACAAATATGCATCATTATTGTGTTGGGATATTTTATGTTGTTTTGGATTGGCAGCTTCAAGAACTAAATAATCGTTTCAATGAGACCAACACTGAGTTACTTCTTTGTTTGGCATGTTTATGTCCAGCTGACTCCTTCTCTGCTTTTGATAGCCAAAAGCTATTGCGTCTTGCCCAGTTTTATCCTAAAGACTTCTCTATGAATGAGCTAGTGATACTTAAGATTCAACTTGAGACTTACATTATGGATATGCGGTCTAGCATTGAGTTTTCAGGTTTAAAAGAGATTGGAGATCTTGCAAAAAAAATGGTTCAATGCAAAAAACACAAGGTGTATTCGCTGGTTTACTTGCTTGTGACATTAGCACTAACTCTTCCAGTTGCTACTGCAACCGTTGAAAGAGCATTTTCGGCCATGAAAATTCTGAAGAATCGATTGAGAAATCGAATGGGAGATCAATGGATGAATGATAACATGGTTATTTTTATAGAGAGAGATATTTGATGGTATTGGTAATGATGTTGTCATGCAACGCTTTCAGAACATGAAAACGCGTCGAGGGATATTGTAAGGGACTGTTGTATGAAAAACTTTTTGGATTAATATATAAGTATTGTGTTTAGTAAATTCTTGAGGTTTTTAATTATGACTTTGTTGTTTGAGGATGCCCCCATTCACACAAATCTCTGGCTTCGTCCCTGCCGCCTAGATCGTCTAAACACCTGTCTAGCCCATCCAGACCCGCCTAGACACTCTAGGTTGCGACTTACTTAGACAGAAAATAGATAACTTCCATTTACATTTTATTTTTTTCAATAAATTGTAAGAAACTTGTTGAATACTTAAATGAACGCACATTATATGTTTGTTTTCCATATTTTCATTATGTTCCAATACTTTATAATATATATATATATATATATATGTCATTCTATTTTATAATTTATGATGAAATTATATATTTTTTAAGTATAAACAAGTACTTATTTACACGAAATATAATAGATTTACTTAAATCCGTCTAGTCCGCCTATGTGTCTGCCTAGACCCCGACTAGCACCTAACGTCTTTTAGAATCTTATATTCTAGAGTGCTTTAGCATTCCTCTTTCATTTGATTTATAAAACTTGGGCTACACCTAATGAGCGCCGGTAAGACTGTGTACGATAAACGTATTCCCGATCCTCACAAAGCGAAGAACCTTATTGGATTGGAGTCGTTCTTTTATTATAGTATGGCAGTGTGATCAGTTTCACCGAGCTTATTGAAGTGGTGAAATCATCCATTTTTCTTAAACATACATTCTGTAAGGGATTGGTGTGGACGGGGAAGGTTACCTCCGGACAATCAGACCTTTAGATGCCACTCGGGGTAGCATCCTAAAAGGTGGGACAAAACACCTCAATCCACCTTATTATTCCAATTAAATTCCCATCTTCATATAGCTAGTCCTAGGTCTGATTCGTGGCCATGTTGAATCATGCAATGATGGTTAGATAAGGCTAAAATACTTTTGTGAGTCCTTTCAACCCCAAAAAAGTAGATCAACATGGCTCTGCCACAAGTTGGTCCTTTAAAAAAAATGAAATCCCCATTTTTTTCTATTGATTTATAAATATTATATTGGCGTTTACTTTTGACTTTGCCACCCATAGAAAGCTTAAGAACAAACAAATGGTCATAGACATATATTATATCAAATGAACACAATGACTTTCGGTTCCGTTTTGTTAGCAAAATGTATTAAAGTTAACAACATCCCTTTCACCTCCGCCCATCACATTCCGTGTTGATATGAAACCATTCACGCACTGCAAATGATCAATCTTTAAAGCAACATCTCTTGCTTTTCACTCCCAAATTCACATACCATGTTGTTCAAAGTCATATATTCTGTCTTGTTTGTGCTTACATCTGTCAATTGTTGTTTGAGTGCCGGAATCAGTTCCAACATCAGGTGCTTACAAACAGAAAAAACCGCTCTGCTTCAGTTCAAACAAGGCCTCGTCGATGAGTCCAATGTTCTTGCCTCTTGGGAAACCGGCAAAGATTGTTGCGAGTGGAGAGGAATCACTTGCAGCAACGAAACAGGTCATGTCGTCACACTAGATCTTTACTATAACTCTTCTGATGTTTATAATGTTGAAACTCCTTTGAGTGGTGTCATTGCTCCTTCTCTACTTGAATTGCCGTATCTAACTTACTTGGACCTCAGTTTCAATAATTTCAAAGGAAAAATTCCCAAGTTCATCGGTTCTTTAAGCCGGTTGAAGCACCTCAAACTGGCAGGTGCTAGTCTTAGCGGACCAATTCCTCCCCAACTCGGAAACCTCTCTAGTTTGTATGCTCTTGATCTTGCATGGAACTTTGTCACATTTGAAAATCTCGAGTGGTTATCTCATCTTTCTTCTTTGAGGTACTTGAACATGTCGGGTCTTAATTTTTCCGAGGTTGTAAATTGGCCAGAGTCTATAAGCAAACTCCCTTCACTTGTTGAGCTTCAGCTATCTTCATGTAATCTTCCCAATGTCGAACTGAGTTCGCTTTCTTTTGTCAATTCTTCTAACTCTCTTGAAGTCCTTGAACTCTCGTATAATTTTCTTAATCTTTCGATATTTTATTGGATGGCCAATGTTAGCACCAACCTTGTTCACATTGGTTTAGCTGGTGATCAGTTGCAAGGTCCCTTCCCAGATGTTTTTGCAAACATGGTTTCTCTCGTGTCTCTTGATCTCTCGTATAACAAACTTGAAGGCAGGATACCAAAGTCCTTTCGAAACCTTTGCAACTTAGAGTTGTTGAATTTACTGGAAAACAAACTTTCTGACAGACTTGAAGACTCTGTCGAAAACTTGTCTTGTGCTCAAGACACCCTCGAGTCCTTGTCCTTGAGTGGGAACCTATTTTCGGGTTCATTTCCTGATAACCTTACAAGATTTTCATCCTTGAAAGAATTGTACATTGATGGCACCAATGTAAGTGGATCTCTTCCAGAAAGTTTTCAGCCACTCTCCCAGCTAAGATCCTTGAGCCTAGTTCTAAACCAGTTCACCGGATCACTGCCTGATTTTACAGGTCTTTCGTTGTTAAGGCAGTTATTTATCTCCAAAAATCAGCTCAACGGATCTATACCAGAGAGTATCGGACAACTTTCCAGCCTCGAAGATTTGGATCTTTCTTGGAATTCTTTGAATGGTGTCGTAACTGAAGTACACTTCTCCAATCTCTCGCGTTTAAACTCTTTGGATTTTTCTCATAATCCTTTGTCTTTCAACTTGAGCTCGGATTGGACTCCGCCTTTCCAAATCAAATCACTAGGATTGGACTCCTGCAAGGTTGGCCCTGCTTTTCCGAAATGGATTCAAACTCAGACAAAACTTACTTCACTTTACATGTCTGATGCTGAGATTTCGGATTCTATACCTGATAAGTTTTGGGACCTGTCTTCCAGCTTATTCGAGTTAAACCTATCGATGAACCAAATCCATGGAAAGTTGCCAAATCTATCAACAAAAAACAGCACCTTTTTTTCACTTGACTTGTCATCTAATCGCTTGGACGGTCCACTTCCGCCATTTCCTTCAAGTGTAGCCATCTTGCTTCTCTCCAAAAACATGCTTTCGGGACCCTTATCTTCCTTTTGTGAAACAGAAACTCCAAACTTGTTTAATCTAGACCTTTCCGAGAACCAGCTATCCGGCGAACTTCCTAGTTGTTGGATGCAGTTTCAAGGATTGTTCTCTTTGAACATGGCTAAGAACAATTTCTTCGGAAAAATTCCAAGCTCATTAGGCTACTTAAAGAATGCTGCATTGTTACGCTTACATGACAACAACCTTTCTGGAGAATTGCCATCTTTGGAGAACTGTACAGAGTTAAGGGTTGTTGATCTCGGTGCCAATAAACTATCTGGAGAGATACCGACATGGATAGGCCCGAGCCTAACAAAGTTGCTGGTTCTTCGCTTAAGGTCAAACGAGTTTTATGGAAGCATACCCTTAAGCCTATGCAGTCTTCCTGCCCTTCATGTTTTGGACTTCTCCAAGAACAATATATCTGGGGCCTTACCATTTTGCCTCCCTAACATAACAGCTTTGTCTTCTATGTCCCCCGAGGTTGAGGACAACATTATTGTTGGGTTTGTGCAACTGATTTGGAAAGGAATAGAGATTGAGTTCGGCGAAAATCTTAAGCGTTTGAGAAGCATTGACATTTCAAGCAACAACTTAAATGGAGACATTCCAGAAAGTGTAACAAGTTTGATGAAGTTGATTTCTCTGAACCTTTCAAGAAACAGTTTCACTGGGGTGCTTCCTAACAAATTTGGCCAGTTGGAGATGTTAGAATCGCTCGATTTGTCACGAAACCAGATATCTGGTAGCATTCCTTCGAGCTTTTCCAGCTTACATTATCTTAGTGTCTTGGACTTGTCATACAACAACTTAACAGGAAGGATTCCGCTAAGCACTCAACTTCAAACCTTTGATGCTTCTGCATTTACGGGAAATCTTGGACTTTGCGGGCAACCGCTCACACCAGAATGCCCGGGAGATGCAACAACTGAAGATCCTGCAGTCCCTAATGGCAGTGGAAGTGACAAGACCAAACAAGATGATGATGGTTTCATAAGCTTAGGATTTTATGTCAGCTTGGTGCTTGGTTTCGTCATAGGATTCTGGAGTGTCTGTGGTACTTTAGTTCTCAAGACAACTTGGCGATATGCCTATTTCCGGTTCTTGGATGATATCAAAGATCGGATTATGTGACGACCGTTGCCTGTGAAGGAAAAGCTGTAGGGGAGATTTCAAAGGTAAACGGTAAAGCTCTACTCTCCTAATCTGTTATATACTTCCGAACTTATACAGATTCATTCAGTTGTATTTTCCGATTTGTAATAAAATGTCATCAACTATGATGCTTGTTTGTCTCAAGGGCTATGCTCTATAAAAACTGTTCAATGATTTACACCTACACACTAATACAAGACACATTGCTCAGATGAAAGCCAGAACGAAACCAGTTCAAACACACCGGAAGTGAACTTCATCCAACGTCAGGCACACCAAGAACACGGAGATAAAAGTCAAACATTTATGACATAGATGTTACCAGGACAGAGTTATCAGCCGATCCTGTTAAGAAGATGGGTAAAGTCGGGTGCCAATCTACAGTAGTTATAGCAGCACTGTGTGGGAGAGGGCTCAACCCATTCACATGACCCCGAACCTGAACCAAGTTAACAAAACAAAAATTTGTATCAACGCAATGCATCACATAGATATTCAAAACACCGCAATCAGGGAAACCCTATACATAATGAAGCCACTCACACAAACGCATGGAGAAGAGAGAACAACCTGGTATATGGGCGCTCTTACGGAACCGGATGTTACCAATAGTCTCCTCCCGGTAGCATCTAAAGCCATTTCATGTCTGCAACTTTTTGAGCTCTCAGGGTCACAGAACCTACGGAATGGAAGAGAGCAGCGCTAGTTAATCAGGTGTATGGAGAAATAGTTTTGTTTGACAAGACTGCAGTGTAACTAATATCTATTAATAATATGGGATGCCAAAGAAAAAGTACCTGGTACAGTTTCTTGACCATAGGATTTGACCTTGGTTTTGCAAGCTCCATTCAAACACCTGACAGCGCAAAAACAGTTCTGTTAGGCAAATACTTTTGAGAGGACAAAATTATAAGACCAGCTGTAGTTCAAGTAATAACGAGGGGGCAAATTTTAAATGCTCTAATCAAACTTCATGCAAAAATGAATGTAAAGCACTTGCCTTTCCATCTACTCCCAAACTGAAAATACTTGTCTCATCAGGGCCGAAAAGAATGGAGCTTATAGCAGAGTCATGTGCAGGCCACCCGGTTATTTGTAGATAGGCAGACATATCTTTGGCTTGTTAAGGTGTTCGTATTTGTATGAGTATGTGTACATATGCAGGCAAGCTAAGCTATGCAGAAGGGGGCACCAGTTTATGATTCTATTAAGACGAGGGATTAAACACACAGCTAAAATGCCTTTGTTGAGGGCAAAAATTTAACCACCTTGGAAAAATAAAAATAAATAACACAAGAAATGCAAAAGTGTTCAAAAATATGTGTGGATACCAAACATGTGAATCATTCCATCAGTTGCAGCGGCCACTAAAACTTTCCCATTGTGATTGAAACTAAGGGATGTTATTGCAGGTGGATCTTTACCAAGAGGAAGAACTGTCTTCACGAAACCCAAAAGGTTAAGCACTAAACTTACAAGTGTCGGAAATGAAAGGCTTAAGAATATAAGTTGCTATAGCATGCATAAATGATCTTCTGGTACAAAGAAAGCATATACCATAGCCTTCCACGTCTTCATATTCCACACAGTTAATGAAGCGAACCCCATACTATCAACATAACTTGATCCGTGCCTACAAATACAATAAAAGTCATAATTCTGACATTCATGAGAATTTAATCCCCAAACACACAAAAACACACATGAGCATATATGCATATACGTAATGGTAAAAGGAATGGTTTCATGTTTAAATTATAATCATTTCAAGCAAAGTGCTCGTATCATACTTCAGTTGAATAGAGCTGTTACAATAGGGGAAAATTTTTGGTCAAACACGGAGTCTAGTATGAAAATATGATAAGATTACAGAAAGAATGTACCCCTTGGATGCTGCTGCAGTAACAAAAATTGGCTCTACAGGGCTGCACTTTATATCCAGGATACTGTAGCAAGGGAAAAAAAGGGTAAATAACAGAGCCAAGAAGTACACAATAGTACGAGTAATATCAGGAAGAACCTTGGAAATTCTTCACTCGTGCTAAGATCACAGACAACTCTCTTTGCATCGACATTCCATGCTTTAATGCCTCCATTAGCAGTGCCTATCAGAAGCTTTTGTCAAAAGAACAAAAACACTTAAACTAGATATTCCACTGTCAAATAATCAGGTTAAGATTCCAATGCCAAGCAATATCTAAGTGCATTTTGAAAATCTAATCTGCATGCATACCAATCGGTCAGATTTGCACTCCCAGTCAAGTGACATAATCTTGGCTCCACAATAAATGGTTGCATTTCTAGATGCCGGAGTTGACGAGTCATAGGTCCATATCCTATTTAATGAACAAATACAGATTACGATTTGAAATCAGCCGATGGTCAAAGAGTTGAGAAATCAGCCAATAGTCAAGGAGTTGAGCAATAAATGTAGCACTTTCGTAACTACTAACTATAGAACTAATACCTTACTGTTCCATCTTCAGATGCGCTGGCTATATTATTTCCAGATGCAGAAAAGCGGCAGCGACTGATTGGACTTGTGTGGCCCAAAAATGTCTCCTATAAACAATGATGATTCGAAAGTTATGGAGTCTCCGATAAAACATAAACAACTGAAGCTGAAAAAAAGTTATCAGAAAACAAGGAGCTACAAAAATACTAAAGCGCAACGAATTGAATATGAGCTTGTAGCATCACAAACCAATCATGCCTTAGAAGCAGTTTACCTGGAAGTCAACCTTAAATTCAGTGAAGTCTTCTAAATGGCTTTCCCTGCCATTTTCTGTAATCACATTCCATAGTTACTAAACAGATAATCTCCGTAACAGCTACTGCACTGTCCCCACAACACAAAGGGAAAATAATTCAGTACAGAAGTTACTTACCATTATAGGGGTCATCCTCGTATAGCTGAATACTATCAGCAGTTCCACCATCTCTCACGCGAGGAGTTGATTGAGAACTTAAATTAGGATCAGACTTAGATATGTTAAACTCTGGTCTGTTTCCCATGTGTCCAGCAACAACCCAATCTGGATCCACCTCTGCTCCCCTTATTTGAAAAGTATCAGGAGGGCAAGTTTCCTGAGTATCCTTAGATATAAGACGATTTTCCTCATGCACTACACTTGATGAACTCATGGTTCGTTCAGTGCTTGCATCGGTTACTGACGAACAACTACAGAGTTTCAAAAGTAAAATAAAGGAATAAGGAAGAGACAAAAACATGATAGTCTCAAAATACTGACGATCCCTTGCACCAAGTCTATACAACTTATTTAAACGTGATACTCTCAAGTCTAAAGGGAAGAAACAATGAAAAACTTCACCTTCTTAACTGGCATAATTGACCATCTTTTTCCTCCAACAAAGCCTGAAGTTTTGATAACTTGAGCTTGAGTTGCTTGATGTCTTTTTTCAGATGGTTGACAGTAGTCTTTTCTGAACTAATTTTCATAAGGGCTGGTATGCGTGGTTTAGTTAAGGGCATTTTCTTCAAACTTAGTCATATTGCGCAATTAAAGGGCAGAAATCAATGTAAAACTAACCTGGTTTTCACTTGAAATATGTAAAAAAAAGGTCGTACCCAGTGCACAAGGCTCCCGCTTTACGCAGGATCTGGGAGAGGTGAATGTCGGCTAGCCTTACCCCCATTTATGGAGAGGCTGCTCCCAAGTCTCGAACCCAAGACCTACCGCTCATGGGCGAAGGCACTTGCCATCGCACCAAGTGCGACCTCTTCACTTGAAATATATAAACTCAAAAAAATAAGAACAAGGTTGATATAAACGAAACTGGTTTTCATATGGTAGCTGAGAAATTCAAATTATCATAATATCAAAAGCCTACATAGTTGGGCGCCATGTGACAACAAGTACCAAGATCGACGAACAGCCCACTCTCAAAAGACAACATATATAAAAATGAAATTAGCCAAATTCTGAAGGATATGAGTACCGTTGAAGATCTCACTAAAGAAATTTCTGACAGATAAACGCAAGGCCTCATACCATTCCTTTGAAAAGTATATACGAAACTCAGGATCAGAGTTTGGTTTCTTTACATAAGGAATGGCTGCATCACACATATAAAAAGGTAAATCAACAAAAGACAGTAGATCACTATATCAAAATAGAAAGACAAAAAGACAAACCCACCAAACCATGCAGTCCAATCCTGGCCCCTTTGCAACAAATCATTCCCAATCATTCCAAAGAACTCTAAAACCTTGTCCCTCCTCCCTGACTGGATGGCATTAACAACGTAGTAGCGTAGAATAGACACCTCCAGTTTCGAAAGAGTAGTCAAAAGTACTGTCTCGGATGATGAAGAGAGACACTGCTTGAAAAAACTGAACAGACCAACTAATTTTTCTGCCTGAAACTTAGGTACATACACTGAGAAGATTAATTCCATTATCCTATCTACTTGAAACCCTTTACTGATATCCGTAGATAATTCAGAATCGAAAGCTTGCAAAGTGTTAGTGAATCCTTTAAACACAAGAAACTCCCTCACAAGCTCCTCAGCATACTGCATATTCTCCATCTTCCCCAGCTATGTCTACAAACACATATATTCACCTTAACTTGTATACCAGGTTATTATACATCCATGTCTCACATGGATCAGATAACAAATACTAAAAAGTGCATCTTTCACTACTTATCACTGTTCTTCAAACAACAACAATAACAACAACAACAAAGCCTTATCCCACTAAGTGGGGTACTGAAAGGTTGCATTTTTCACCGATTTTTTTACAAAGAATTAAACTTTTAGTTGCAAAAAAATTCAATTTTGATTAGTTTTACATTACATTTAGCCCAAAACTAAAAGGGTGATCAGGAAATCTTTAAACTCAGTTCATGATTGTATTTATGTGGTAATTCGTATCAAGTTGGAAGCATAATAATAAGAAGGGAAAGAGGGTTTAAAGGGATTTAGGGTTTGCAGAAATTGAAATTTCAGGAATTGGGGGAAGGCAAGATTGTACCTTGCGGAATTGCAGAGGAACCGGATGGGATTTGTAAGTTACAGTCAAAGGAGGGGAGTTCGATTCAGCTTTCCAGTCCAGGTTGAGCAGGGTGGAAGGTGGGAAGGTGGGAAGGTGGGAAGGTGGAGTGAGTTTGGCGCTTAAATTATTGCTACTATTATCATTGTAGTCGTTGAAGCCCAAACATGTTGCTTTGAGCCCAAACGTAGTTAATTGGGCCATTTCTAATTAGGAGGACCTTGCTAGGGCATTCTTGGGTAAAACCCGACGTATTATTCTTACAAGTAACATGGAACGAGCGAGATACTAATTATAATTAGGGATAATATCTATGATTATATACCAATTTAGCCATTGTTGGGGTCTCACTTCATGATGTCCCTTTTTTTTTCAAATAAAAAATTGTTCACGCTTTGTGTATATAATAACTGAGCTGTTATTGGCATTTCCGAAAAGTCATCATGTGTTTTTTCTGATAAAAAAAAAGTGAGAGAGGAACAAGTGCAGAAAGGCTATTTTAGACTTCTAATAACATTTTCAAAACTAGAGATTAGCTTGCCAAAATTGTATCTGTTAGGATTCTACCGATATAATTTATAGAATGATAAAAGTCTTAATAAAAGTCCATCCCTCTAACAAAACTACGAAAAAGGAAAATGCCAAGATGCAAGAAACTTCAAAGCAGTTTCTTGTGGAGAAGTCAACTTATTTCTCTTTGCTCCGTCAAAGAGAGAAGTCTATCCCTCTTGCTATGGGACAGGATCCTCTCCGGATCATTTTCATATAGATTTTGGGGACCAAATTATCTCAGTTGTTCACGTAAAATCGTGAGGATGAGATCACTCGCGTCCTCTCCAACTTCTCACTCTTTCTCTTTCTCCTCAACGTCCTTGTCTTCATCTCCAACGGCGATCAACGAAGCAGAACTTCAGAGAAGAAAATGGGAGGGGTTGAAGGTCGGGGAAATATGCAGTGGAAATTGGGGTGGGAGGCGGAGGTGAGTGACGGTAGGGAGGTATGCAGGATACGGATAGAAGGGGATCCAGAGAAGATCTATTCCCCTCTTGCTATAGCCTTGAAATTTGGTAAGCCAATCTTCTTTAATTATTTTGGTCATGTAGCAATCTGCATGAAGGCAAGTAATGGTGCTGCTAATTTATAGAGTATACATTCATTCAATTTATAGGACGGGAAAGAATACATAGCTTTTCCCTATATAGAATATACATTGAATTTATTGTACGTACGTTAACCTACGATTCTACGACCGTCATCGGACCACCATGCATCCAACCATGAAACTACGTCGTCATACTGCGTGGAAAAAGTTGTTCTAAAACGCGGTCTAGGCGGCAGTGCTCTGCTGTGAATTACCCGAAATCGTTCATTAAATCGGCAAGGACATTAAGCAGTGTAAGGCGGCCGCCTGGGCGGGCTAGGCAGGCTCGGCGGACGCTAGGCGGTCTGGGAAAAAAACTTATGGCACGGACTCACAACCTTCTTGTCTCCCCGAGTCATGTCGTCTGCCTCTCTGTTTGCTAGAAGAGAAGTCGAATATGGTGAGAGAGAGAGAGAGAGAGAGAGAGAGGTAGATGAGATTTGTGCAATTGCAGGGATGGGTGATGGCGACGGGTTGTAAAAGGTTGCAGAGATGGGTGCGGCGGTAGGTTGTAGAAGATAGTTTGTAATTGGAGAGAGCGACTACTTTAGTTAGGGTTTTAAGCAATTAGTAACCCTTTAGCTAGCATTTGTTAGGTTTGAGTCGGTGAAGGATTAATTAAAAAAAGATTGGAGGGCCAACCTTTTATTTTATTGAGAGTCCCAACAATATGGGCTTACAAAATGATACACCTTTGGAACTTTACATATATACTCATATTTAACATATATACCTATATATATTCTTTATTTTTTTTTAAATAATATAGTATCAATGTTTATTTATATATATATATATATATATATATATATTATGTAGTAAATTTAATTAATTTATATAATGTATTACTTAAATCCGTCTAGTCCGCCTAGCCACCTAAGCGCTAGGCCCCAGCCCTCCGCCCAGCGTTTTTTAGAACCTTGGGCTTATAATATGGGCTTACAAAATGATACAACTTACCTATATATATATATATATATATATATATATATATATATATATTTTTAGATAACATAGTATCAATGTTTATTTATATATATTATGTAGTAAATTTAATTAATTTATATAATGTATTACTTAAATCCGTATAGTCCGCCTAGGCACTAGAACCCAGCCCGCCACCCGACTAGCACCTAACGTTTTTTTAAAACCTTGGGAAAAACAACCGGCACACATACAACTGAAGTATTGTTAAAGCAAACAAACTTAAAGTTGTGAAGTAAATGTAAACTTTGCGCTTCAAGAGCTTAAAAACATCAACTTTGATAACTTCACCAGAGGTATGACACTCCTTTAACTGTATGGACACATGACTCTCAGGGGGTGGCTGCTTAGCCTCCTGTATCTTCTTGTATATGAGATCTTGCTCCAAATAGCTGACACCCAAATGATACTCTATCCGGTAGAACATTGTCACGGCGTATAGGAAAGCCATGAAGAATATTACTGAAGAAACTAGTATCATGCTGAAGGGCACCCACCATTGGCAACTGTAACCGGAATCCAAACCGTTTGGCGGCTGCCGTGATGAAAACCCTAGGAAAAATAGGGCGTGCAATAGAAGATAACCGATGGCTAAATTATGAGCTCTTGTCTCGTGGTAATGGGCGCGTTTTTCTTGCTTTCTGTTGATGACCTTCAACTCCTTGAAGCTTTTTTTCTAGCTCTTCTAACTTCATAGCTAATTATGTACGAGGGATACTTACACGATTATATAAATAGGCCCCTTCAACTGTGCTTTTTCGGAGCAATTGCAACTTCATTGCCTTGTAACTTCCCCCAATACGAGTCAAAGTCATGGTGGAATATTCGTAACGCGTTTTTCTTCTTGTTTAATCAAAGTCGTGCTTTTTTATGTTTGTATAAGTCAGTCATTGCTGATTTTTCCTGGAAAAAATTGATTGAATTGACTTGAGAGGGATATTTGGGCTCTGGTATGTTACTTTGTTTGGGCTGAGTGCCTGAAATGAAAGGACATTGTACAATTAACAGGATGAAGTTGAACGTTTTTTATTACAAAAAATGTGGCTGCAAAAAATCCTCTGTACAATTAACAAGATGAAGTTGAACGTTCTTGATTACAAAAGATGTGGTTGCAAAAAATCCTCTGTTTCCATAAGAAACAAAAGCAACATGCAGTTCACTCATCTCTGTTTCCTTTGGTAGAATTATCTTAACAGTATACAGAAACAAAGAAATTATGTTTTGCATTTTGCATATCACTGTCATAAAATGCATCAAGCAATCAACTAACAAATAAAAAAGAAAGACCAAAAAACGAATGCTTTCCATTCAACAGAAAAAAAGTCCGCATAAAGATAAATTGAAATGATAAACATACAAAATTTGACTTTTCACTTCACATAATTTGTTTGAAATCACTAATTATCATTAGAACAACTTCTTAATGAAAAAACATTACACTGAAATTAGGAGAGGAAAACCCCTGTGAGAAAAAAGAAAGGCAAAAATCAAAACTTGCCTCTGCCAAATAGGAAAACCCCTACAAACCACACAATCAGAAAAATTAAATACTTTTTTTCTAAAATTAGGAGAGGAAAATGGAATGATAATGGAAAATCTTACAAATAAGAAAAATAAAAGAAAAACTAACGAAAAGTTCAAAAAAACTTCCCTTTTAATGAAAAATCATTTTTAAAAGTATAGTGAATAGTACCAGGGAAAGGTATAAATGTGATTTTTCGTTAAAAGTGAACAGTACTATGAGTGTTTTGTTAAAACTCCCAAAAATAAAAGCCAAAAATTATAGATCTAGAGAAAAAAATTACCCAAATTTCCATTCAGCACAAACATAAGGGCCAATGCGAAGGTGAGCATAGAGCCCTGCCTTCTTCTGCATGATCTTGAGAAACCTCACCAGATTATACCTCCCTTTAAAATTGTACTAAAACCCAGCATAAACCCAGAGGGTGAAATTAACCATAAAACCAAATATACAAAAGTATTCGTTTGCAGATCTAAATTCATACCCCTTTATACTGGCTCCAAGGTGGTTCATGTCCAAGACTCCATACATCTACAGCAAGGTTTGCACCACCTGAGTTCTGTATAACCTGGGCAAGCAACCGAAATCAAGACTTAAGTAAAAGTAAAACAAAAAAAACTCACCCTCACAAACTTATCCTGTGAAGCTCCATTTGATTGCTCTAACCTTCTTGTTTGACCAAGCCCGAAATTACAAGTAAGCTTCAAGTGAAATTGATACATTACTTTGTGCATCTCCACCGGTTAAAGATGGATGGAGGAAAAGTACTTCCAGAGAAGATGCCACATCTACCTATGAGACAGATAAGGCAAGTGAAAACGATATCACACTTCGGTACTTAGAATCTTCGTGATTACTCAGCGGCTTGGATCTTGCAAGTCCCCAACCGAGGAGTTTCCCTCACTCGGGAACTTAGGGGAGCAATGTTTGTACCATACTTGACCAATCCCGAAACTACCGAGCACCGGTCAATGTTATACCGTCAATGACTCAGAAGAGTTTCCCTCCAACCAGGAGGCCAATCACAGCGCGACACGTGTCGACACCAGAAGCCAATCATAGCGCGACATGTGTCAACATCAGAAGTCAATCACAACACGACACGTGTCAATATCATAACAAAGCTAGAAACTCTCTTCTATAAAAGGAGATCATTTTCCCACAATATTTCCTAATGTCATTTGTACTAAATCATTCACTAGTACTCACTAAAGGAGAGCTTGAACCTATGTACTTGTGTAAGCCCTTCACAATTAATGAGAACTCCTCTACTTCGTAGACGTAGCCAATCTGGGTGAACCACATACATCTTGTGTTTACTTCCCTGTCTCTATCCATTTTCATACTTATCAACACTAGTGACCGGACTAATCTAGCGAAGGTTACAAACTTGACACTTTCTGTTGTACCAAAGTCCTCATTGATTTTGTGCATCAACAATCTTCAACTCGTTTAAGCTTTTTTCTAGCTCTTCTAATTTCATAGTTAATCATGTACGAGGGATATTTAAAGTGCTTCTAAATTAAGCTCTAATATAATAACTCAGAAGTACTTTTGCATTACACGATTTTATATATAGCCCCTTCGACTGTGCTTTCGGAGCAATTGCAAGTTCATTGCCATGTAACTTCCTCAATATGAGTCAATGTCATGGAATAATCGTAAGGTGGTTTTCTTCTGGTTAGTTTAATCAAAGTCGTGGTTTTCTGCTGACATTTTCAAACCATGGCCATTTGACTTGAGAGGGATATTTGGGCTCTGGCATGTTTTTTTTTTTTTTTTTTTTTTTTTTTTGGAAAACCTGGCATGTTACTTTGTTTGGGCTGAGTGCCAGTAGTCATGACCATGCCCAAGTGGATCGTCCTCTTTTCACGGATTATGTGTTTATATCTGATTTTGCGCTCGGCCCATTGGTTTCGAGCCGTCAGATTAAAAGAAGGTTATGATGATTTATAATAACTTTGGGGGTGTGATATCCACACACCCCTTTTTACTTATCCCACACATTTTTGGTTTTCGGCCGTCGGATCAGATGAATTAAAGAAGATCAACGGACATAAATTAACAAGGGGTGTGTGAGAAGTAAAAAAGGGTGTGTGGATAGCACACCCCTAACTTTTTTAGATATTATAATGGTTTTGATAGTATTATCTCATGGGTTATTGGCAATTATCTTAAAGTGATTGAGGATCGGGATTGACTTTTGGATGGAGTTTGAATTAATAGTATAATAGGACTAGATTCAGAATCTTGGTTTGAGTTGAAGAAGGTGAAGCATGATGATGAAGTTTCAGTCGAGAATAATTCCACGTATATTCAAAGAATATGTCAAAGAATTGGAATCTTGTTAGAATTTTACCACTCGACTGACTTAGGCATCAAGGATAAATACAGGGGATTTGCAACATAGAGAAGCCCCTTCAACTTCACAACTCAAAACGCTCTACGCAAAACCCTTCTCACAATATTGAGAAAAACACTAACTATCATAACTCACCCATCAACATATCTCGTCAACACATCTTCAGTTTGGACTAACAATACTAGAGCCGTAGAACCAACGATTAAGAAGCACTTTCAGTTTGGACTAACAACATTGCTTCTAGTCGATTAGTTATCTATCCAAGTCTTGGCCAATGAAGGGTTTTCAACTAATTCACCGAAAGAGGTCACTTCATTAGCTTACCAGCGAAGTTGAGTGTTATATGATTGGTTACTCTCAAGTGCATTTTGTAGTTCAGCATTTAGAGGGTTGAACCACGTTCACCGTAAAAAAACCTCATCTTCTTTTGAGTACATGTGTCCCTACAGTCTGATATCGATTCGGCTCATTTATATTCTAACGAATATAGTCGAGACAGCCGAGCTTGATACAGGAGATCCTAAACTTTACAGTGATTTAGGCAACCTTTGTCTTCAAGTTCTAGAACCCAAGGCCGATACATGTGCCTTTCTCGACCATAATGCATTAGCCACTACCACCACATCTATTATACTTATCCAACCGAGCTCAATTGCGAATTGGCATGCCTGCCTCACAAAAAAGACGTAGTTAGCGCACAACGTAGACTTTGTAATTTCTAAAGTCAACACTACTTTTATGTGTGTTGAGCATTATTGAATATATATACATACACACACACACACACACACACATGGAAATCAGTGAAGACCAATGTCATTATACGCATTGAAATCTAAAAGTTGATTGAGGGGTGTGATATCCACACACCCCATTTTACTTCTCACACACCTTTTTAATTTTCGGCCGTCGGATCGGATGAATTGAAGAAGATCAACCGACATAAATTATCAAGGAGTGTGTGAGAAGTAAAATGGGGTGTGTGGATAGCACACCCCTTGATTGATCTAAAATATGGTGTTATGAAATAAAAGGGTCCCTCAAGATCCAAAGGATAAAAAAGGTCACGGTCTATAATAACCTTAATGTGAGTGTGATCGATCAAGTAAATATATTTATCTTAATATTTTATAAGGCACATATTTTGCAGCGTTCGTCTCTCCCTGTCCACAGGACTTGTGTTTTGGAGTACATGCGGACAAGTGTGTACCAATCCACTCCTTGATTGGTTAAACAAAGATCATGCCTATCAACTTACCCAAATATAAAACCATATGATCATTGAATTAAGGGTTTATGGTTTATTTGTAGAATCGTATTCGACCTTCTCTACATTACAAATGAATGTCTCAATAATTTTCAACTTGTCTAATTTAGCTAAGATAATCTTTGAACAATGTTTTAAAAGATATACAGTTCGGATCGTCAAAATACATTACGTGTGGGCTCCAAAACAACATGTGTAAAAATTATGTAAAAAAAAGTGGTGCCATAGATTTTTCCCCATAAATATAATAGCATTCACAAGTAATTGCAAATAATTTTTGGAAGATAATTGTTGTCTCACCATTTTCCTTTGATTTGCAATATTGAAACTGACAAGTGCCTACAGACAATACATACCATATCAGCTCAAGCGTGCTTCAATCTAAAACTAGAAAATAATTAGCAATACTACAAAGAAAGGGCAAACGTAACTTCAATGCCACGCATCAATGAATATAACAAAATTGTCACCAGCAGCACATTACGGTCTCTTCTTCTATATAATGCAACACCTCTTTCATATTATTTCCCACCAAAACTTCCACAATCAAACCACACATAAACCTTTCTCAAGATATGGCTCCAAAGTCCACAATGTCCCTAGCATTGCTCTCTTTAGTTACACTAGTTCTGGCTTTGGGGGCTAATGCCGGTGGAATCGCTATATATTGGGGTCAAAATGGGAATGAAGGCACGTTAGCGGAAACTTGTGCTACAGGGAATTACCAATTTGTAAACGTAGCTTTTCTCACCACCTTCGGCAATGGCCGCACCCCCGCCATCAACCTAGCCGGTCACTGTGACCCAACGACCGATGAATGCACCAAGTTGAGCCCAGAGATCAGGTCATGCCAAGCCAAGGGGATTAAGGTCATACTTTCCATTGGAGGAGCTTCTGGGAGCTACTCTCTAACTTCAGCAGCTGATGCAAGGCAAGTTGCAACTTACTTGTGGAACAACTTCTTGGGAGGGCATTCATCATCAAGGCCATTGGGAGCTGCAGTATTGGATGGAATTGACTTTGATATTGAGGGAGGGACTGACCAATATTGGGATGACCTTGCTAGGTACCTATCTGGATATAGCAAGAGAGGCAAGAAAGTTTACTTGACTGCTGCCCCACAATGTCCCTTTCCTGATGCTTGGATTGGAAATGCACTTAAGACAGGCCTCTTTGACAATGTTTGGGTTCAGTTCTACAACAACCCTCCCTGTCAGTACACTTCCGGCGACGTGGCCAATCTAGAGGACGCTTGGAAGCAGTGGACTTCAGCCATCCCTGCACATAAGATTTTCTTGGGGTTGCCTGCTGCTCCTCAGGCTGCCGGTAGCGGTTTTATTCCTGCTTCTGATCTCAACTCACAAGTCCTTCCGGCTATTAAAAATTCGGCTAAGTATGGAGGTGTCATGCTTTGGTCCAAATATTATGATGATCTTGATGGATACAGCTCCTCCATCAAGAGTCATGTCTAAAATTTCAATATGTTTACTATTTGAAGAACAAAAGGGATATCCACCCTTATGTACGTTGACTACATAAATATGTATCTGCCAGTCTATATCGATTGAGTTTATGCAATGTCAATACTATTAATTTCCTAGGTTTTTATGAATGAATGATATGATCTTGAGTAAAAGAATGAATTAATGCAGTAATTGAATGTCAACTTTGATGAACTATAATTGAGCTTTTGTGGATCATACAAGACTGACCAAATATGGTCGGTTGTAACCCGATTTCTAGTTGACTATCTAGGGGACATTGTGGAGTAACTGCATGTAGCTTGAGATGAAGAAGGATGAGTATTGATGGTGAAGGAGCTGAAGTGATTGAATTCTCTCTTCATTGCCTTGTACACATGATCTAGGCCTTCCTCAATTAACTCCAAAACCGTTTGGGGCATCGGTGGCATGTTGATGCCGACTGATCCTTCCAACATTCTCACTACTTCCCCCATTGTTGGTCTCATGAATATCTCATCTTGGATGCACCAAAAGGCAACTTTCAAGGCTCTAATGAGTTCTTCTTCTTCAACCGCTCCTTCCAGTCTCCTGTCTGCAACTTTCATGGGATTTCCACTTGTCATCTCCTACAATCATGATTGAAATTCATTACGTAAAACCAAAGTTTCCGCAAGATTTTAAGGTTGACAAAAAATTTAAACAAGAAAAAAAATTATAAGAAATTTTCTATTATACCTTAAAAGCCCATCCAGGATAGAAAAAGTCATCTGCATCAAATGACATGTCAAGGTTTCTTCGACCACCAACGATCTCTAGAAGAAGCATACCGTAACTATAAACATCAGCCTTGACAGTTATAGGCCGGTTACTCACCCACTCCGGAGCCAAATAGCCTCTTGTTCCTCTGACCATGGTAACAACCTGTGAGTGCTCTCTGCCCATCAACTTAGCTAGTCCAAAGTCGGAAACTTTAGGACAGAAATTTTCATCCAGCAGAATGTTTTCTGGTTTGATGTCACAATGTATAATTCGATCTCGGCATTGCTCATGAAAATATGCAATTCCTTGTGCAGTACCCACGGCTATATCAAAGCGTGATTGCCAATCTAGCAACTTGTCTCGGGAATGATTTGAGCGAAATATCCATTTGTCCAGTGACCCATTTTTCATGAACTCATAAACTAAAAGCCTGCCAGCACAAGAAAATATGTTCAGTTTTTAGATCAATCAAATGTAGCATCTTAAGAATGTTTACTAGAATTCAGAAGACCATGAGTCATTGGCTACAAACGTTTTAAGAAGCTATGCATACACAAGTGTTAATTTGGTGAGAAGCCTTTAGGTTTCTCAAAGTTATTGCTTACCGTTGTGAGCTCTCGGAGCAGTACCCGCATAGACGAACCAAGTTCATGTGATGCATGGAACCAATGGTGTTCACTTCAGTTATAAACTCCTTCTCCCCATGTGGCAAAACCCTCTCAAGTTTTTTTACGGCAACCAAAGTGCCATCAGCAAGGCTTCCCTTGTAAACACTCCCAAATCCCCCTGCAAAGTAGCATATAATTACTAAACAGAACCAACACAATAAGAAAATAGCAAATTACTATTATATATATACTCCATTCTTACCAGTTCCAAGAAGCTGTGAGAAATTCCACGTACGAATTTGTAATTCGCGGTAACTAAGATTCAACGGAGCACCAGACAAGATTACTGAGCTTTCCAGTGTTCTCTTCAAGGATCTCCTCCTATGGACATTGTAATATAGCAAAAGACATAGGAGGGCAACAAGGAAGGTCATGCTAAGAACAATAGGAATAACCAAAACTTTTGTTTGCTGATTACCCGACCCCTTGGAAGACTCCCCGGATCCTTTTGCGTTGCCCTCTAAGCCATTAGACCGAACCTTCACAAACAGAGTTGAAGCAGGATCCTCATAGCCACCAAAATCCATGCTTCTCAAAACCCAACAGTATGGATTTTCGTCATCAAGGCCGTAAACTGAAGCAACACATTCACAATCAGCTAGACAAATCTCTCCACATTTTGTTACATTCTCAACATCGCTGTAGTTTGCTATGACTGAAAATTCTGGAAAATAGTAATTGGTTTGCTGCACCGTTGAAATTCTAAACTGGGATGGCTGATAATTACTCCGCGAATCACATTTTCCTGTAAGTGATGAATTTTCTGAACAAAGACTTCCCCCATTTTCCTTATAAGTCCCCGGTAGACATGTGCAAGAAGCATTAGTCTTACTCCTATCCAAATTACATATCCCTTTACCACAAATTCCAGCAATGTCACATGGTGTTGAAACTGCAGCCCACTCTGGCACCCATTGCCTTGACCCATTAATATCATTATCCCAACGATACAAGCGTAAATTCCCATTACTCTCGATTATCAATCTACGAAGAACCAATGATCTGGTTGATGCGGCTGATAGTCCCCCATCATCGCCATCATTCTTGTACACATATACAGCTCCATCTGATGACTCCCCATACACAATTCCAAAGCTCCCTGCTTCATCTAAAACCGCTACAACATCCCCGGTTACATTTGATATGTCTGGTCCGTTCCAATAAGAATAGTTGTAATATGATTCAGGGGAGGAATTGTATAAAGTTTCTGGCATGTTGTAAGTCAAGGCAAGGCTTAAAGAAGTGCGTTGTTGAAGCATTTTTAGTGCATAGTATCCACCACGTGGGGAGGACTTAGAAGTTGTTAGCTCTAAAGAGACTGAAAGAGGTTGGTTTGGGAGGAGAGTGTCAGATGGGTGTGAGAAACTCTGCCACACAGGGCGGTTGACATCGTCATAGATAATGAAATTTCCAGATTCTTGCAACGTTGCGCCTTCAACACCAGCGCCGGAGGTGTTTGAGGTCCACGTGGTAGCGTCTCCATCCATGAGGACAAGGTTTCCGGTTGTGTCAAGCTCCAGGATCGCATTGTTGGAGACGGCTGAGTTTCTATATATTTAGATGATTGAGAGAAAATGAAATTTGTAACCTGCAAAAGCTATTGTAAAGACTAGATGGGGAATTGGTTTGTGATCTTTTTGTTTTCTAATTAGTCAAAGTCTATTAATCATTCACTCTATATGCAACATTCTATATGCAAAATATTAGGCAAAATGATTGATCAAAATCAAAGATTAACAACATAACGATCACATACCAAAAATTGATCATTTTAACAACTGAAATTTATAAATTGTTCATTTCAACCAATTTTTCAAGATACTTTTTGTTCTTGAACTAGTTAAAGCATGCAACACAGAAAAGTACACTATCCTTGTAAGTCAAACATAACATTTTCCTTCATTTTAATTAAGACTTTTTCATTGACACAAGTTAAAAAATTATTAATCAAGTTTCAATGAAAATAAAAAGAAAACATATCAAGAAAAAGAGCAAATATATTTGTCATCGTAATATTGATGGACCTAGACCTACTGGTTAAATTTCATTTTGTCAATTTTCTTTTTCAAGGGATTAAAACGAGGAGGTTTTGGATGATTTACCTGTTAGCAGACCATACTATGGTTCGATCTCCGGGAAGCTCCGCAAACCAAATTGCCAGTTGAAGTCTGTCGTCTTCGTCCGACGTTGGAGTGAACCCTAAAGCAAATGTGCCATTATCTGAGACCAACGTTTGGTTCTCTCTAGCCAACAGCCTCGAGCCCAAACCAATCCGGCTAGCCGAGCAGGCATCAAACCCAGCTACAACCAAGAAGAACAGTGCCACCAAATAAGTAGAAAAATAGGTGGAGGACATTGCCATTGGAAGCTGAATTGGCCAGTGTATTATTTGTTGAAGAGCCGATTAAGCTAGAACAAGAAGAAAAAAAGGTGGTTGCGTCTTATTTATTTGTTAAACTGAGAGGAAGAGGAAGACTTTCATGCATGGAAGAAAATTGAGAAATCATGACACGTATAAACAGTAGTGGGTGAGCTAAATATTGACAAAAGTTTCACCAATATTTGGTCGGCTGATAAGAGCAATTGGATGTTGGGGCACGTGTTGAATGCAGTGTGGTGTGGTCTTCAATATTGGACTGTGAGTTCAGACTTCTTCAGTCGTGGCCGAGCGAAGGTTATGAGAGGCTATGAGCCGATATCGACACGTTGCATGAGAATAAATTGTGGCTTTCACACCCATATATCATTGGGGATGGATATATGGCACTAGTGGTGAATGATTGAGTTAAAGTTCATCTTGCCATTGTTTATATATTATATAACATTTTCGGATGCTAAAGTTCAAATATGTTGAAATTCATATGTAAATAGGTTTTGACACTGAAAGCTCGAGTATTGCTGTTGCTTTCAAACATTTTATCCATTTTGTGATGTAATTCCTAGTTGAAATTTTGGAACTAAAATTATGATCTAGGAGGACCTTGTATTTAAGGCATATTAATTCTAGATTGACAAATATACACAGATAAGGCAAGTAGATGATTGTCCTGGTAGTTATGGTTTTTCTCTTTAACTCTTTAGATTTCGAGTTCAAATATTTTCCATCTCAAACATAAACGATTTTAATAATAGTACTAGACATTAAAGTTGTAGATGAAAACTAAAAACAAACAATCTCAAATAAAACACAAGAGATTACGCAGTTTTCTATAGAAGCTTGCGTCTATAGGCGAAACATGTTGAGGAAATTCCACTAACAAATCCTAACAAAATCAAACGAGAACGTAGAAGACTCTCCCAATGAGCTTTCTAACTCTCAAACTTACAAACTGACTCTTACAATTAGTTCATTGCTTTGTGTTTTAAGTCCTTTTTTTATGCACACATGTATGCAAGTAATTACTTTATTTTTTCTTTTGAATATTTCACACGTGATTTCTATTATTGTTACTTTGTTAATGTTGTGGCAAAGGAAAACTTGATGTGGATTTCTAGCAAACAAAATCATTTCTTGCACCTTGGGTCATCTTGCAGAGTCATATGATTAACTATCAAATGAACAAATCATTTTCTTCAAAATTAATTCTCTGACAAAAGTATATCGATCGCGATAACTTCAAAAAACCAGTACAAATATTTCTAGGTATTGACATCATTATGTGTCATCACTACGTATGAATATTTCAAACAACCTTGCGTGTTGTTCTGTT